AGATAAAGGAATAATGATGTTTTGTTCAAGGTATCCATCGCAGGTTTTCGTAGGCGACACGTTTTGTTATCTGTCGGGAATGACTTTCGCCGTTGTCGGTATCATAGGCCGCTTCAGCAAGACGACTTTATTGTTTTTTATTCCGCAAATAATCAATTTTCTGTATAGCATACCTCAGCTATTCCATCTTGTATCGTGTCCTAGGCATAGATTACCAAAGTGAGTTTCAGAAATAAAAAATAATTATGTTAGAAAATCTCAGATCGAAAGATCTACTCATAACATATGATTTTATTTGCAGATACAATGAAAAGATGAACAAATTGGAGCCTAGTAGAACGGTGTTCTACAAATCAGACCTTGGCACACTTGGTATAATAGTATAGTTTATTTTATTTAAAAAAAAACCATATGTATTGTTTAGAATTACATTTTATCTTATTAGGGAAGCTATCAATGTGGATATTTCGAAAATGTAAATTGATAAAATGGGAAGAAGACTCGGAAGGCTTTGTGACTTGCAATAATCTAACTTTGATTAATTTTATATTGATCAAGACTGGTCCATTGAGAGAACCAAAACTTACGTCCATTTTACTGATAATTCAGGTAATTTAAAAAAATGTATATTTAATAATTTAAAGTATATAACATTAATATTTTTCAGATTATCAGTAGTATGTTGGCATTTGTTATAAGATATCCTTTGGCTTCCATATTTTATGATGTTTAAATAAATATAAAAATGTTGAAATATATTACAGTTGTATAAAAGTCTTGAAATTATTATTATTAGCTTGTGATCACAATTCCTCTATTTTTTTCATAAAATATCAAAATTGTATTATAAATTTTAAGTCATCATTTTTTTAATGATTTTTAATGTCATAAATATAAATATTTATTTTATTAATATATTATTTTTTGTATATAAGATAGTAAGGAATAATAATAGAATAGCTTCTGTATAAGTTTCTATTATATAAACTTTGTACACAACTTGATTAAAAACAATTGCATAAAAAGATAATTTTTATCAAATTCCAATAATAGGGTATTTATAAAGTATTGTAAGTAAAAATAATATTGATAAATATTTCATTCGTTAAAAATTACAAGATTTGTAAATATCATAAAATTACTTAAATGATACACAACAAATTTTAATATTTGCATAAGCACATGATCTTACAAAGTAAAACTTGAGCAATTCTAAATAGTTATAAACTTCACTTGCTAACAAATACTTTAAAGCTTTGATAATCTACAATAACTGGTGCATTATATCACTAACTTTTTTTTGTAGATCAAATGCTAATAGATCCAATATATTAAAGTTAATTCTTAAAGTGTTGTATAAACTTAAAATTATATTGAAACTGTTTGAATATAAAATAATGCAATGCAATAAGAAAAATTACAGTTTTTGGGATACCCTGTATGTATATCGTGTTTAAGATTGATGTGCTAACATAAAATTTTAATTCTTTAATAATAGTGATTTTTTATTTTTAATTTCTTCATAATTTAAAACATGGAATTCGGAACAAATCGAGACGACGAACGAATGACGTCCATACCTAATCGATTCTTTATATTAAGTTGTGCTTTTGCAGCATCTCTCAAGCTGTATATGTGTGTCAATTCCATGAATGTACGACATAATACTAAAGCCTTGTCAAATAATCTTACTGCTTCCTCTATGTTTCCTCTGAAAAAAAACATAGATTTAGAATATTTTCAAATGTCTTTAGTTTCTTTAAATAATACATAGTATAAGTCACATATATGATTGTAGTTGGCATTTTGAAAATTTCAATATATAATAATTATTAGAAACCATACATACCTTTGTACTTCGATACTTCCTAATGATTCATATGCAAGCTCGCATTTCTCATCCAATTCTAACGCTTTGTGTATGTATTCCACAGTTTTATCAACATTCCCGTTCCATTGTAATTGCAGTAAGCCTCTATGCACATAAACAGTTGCATTGTCCGGGTCTTGCTCTAATGCTTTAGCATAATAAGTATCAGCCTTTTCAAACTGTTGAGTTTCAGACATCATCTATAATAATTGAAAATTCCACTAATGAAAACAAAATGTGTACAACACAATGATAACAATTTATAACTCACTTTTCCAATATTTATTTTTCTTAAGAAATATTATAAATAGTTGTACGTACCTGAGCATACGATATATAACAATATATACATTCAGGAGGATTTGGATACTTTTCCAAAGCTCTCTCAAAGTCTTTCACAGCCACTTCGGCTAATCCTATATCTCTATTGAACACTGCAAAACGATAATCCGTGTAACATTTTTGCGCATATGCTATGCCGAAATTTGGATTGTATTCAACAGCCTTTTCAAAATCGCGTTTAGCTTCATCTATTCTGCCCATGAGCAAATTTACCTGAAATGACAAAAAATAGTATTATTATGTTATTTTATAATCTTGATTTTGCATTAATCGCAAGTCCATTGCAAGTTTGTTAATTAAAAAATTGACATTTCAGACTGGCTGTTGCAATAAATTTGCAATTGATTTGCGATTAATATAGACCCAGGACAATATATATATATATATATATATATATAAAAAGAGAGAGAGAGAGAGAGAGAGAGATAAATGTGTTGAATTATAACATATGTAATACCTGTCCTCTATGATGATAGATATCACTGTAGCTTGAATTTATACTAATGGCTAATTCAAAGTCCTTGAAAGTCATATCTGGATTATCAAGTTGCATGTATAAGGCCGCTCTTTTTATCAGGGCATTTATCCTCACATCATTGGATGCATCTTTGCTGTTCAATATATTTTCAAAATCTTTGATTGTAGCATCATGCTCGCCCAAAAGTAAGTAAAATGTAGCTCGTAATAATAATACTTCTAATCTAGATGAAGGTAACGTATCAAATTCGGGATTTTTAATGATTTCCGTGCATAGCGGTATTATATCGTCGTACTCCATATTTTTTACCGCCTGCAATGGTTTCTTGAAAAATCTGATAACAAGTATTACATTTTTTTTTAAATTAACACCACAATTATCAGAAATAGTTTTCTACTTACTCTGGAATATTTTCTGGATGTTCAAGTCTAGAAAATACTGGATCCTTGGGAAAAGATATAATGTATGTTTTGATAAAATGCTTACTTGGCATTACAAATTTTTTATTTGCCAAATTTTCTTGGGCATGTTGTCTCCCTAAAAATAATTTTTATTTTCAATAACTAAACTTCTCTATTCCTATTTCTAATTCTACAAAAGTTTGAGCAGAATTTTATTTAATACCAAGTACTTTTTTAATGTATGTAACTTACCGAGCTTTTCCAAAACCTTATCTGCCGTTGAGAGGGAAGTTTGATTAGAAAATCCTTCATAAATACACGCAGTAGTCACATCCTCCAAGGCGGCTTCCAAGTCTCCTGTTTGCTCCAAAGCACGTGCCCGACGTAACAAAGCTTTGGCATATTTTGGATTTAGTTCTAACGCTTTCGTACAGTCTGCCTTTACAGCACTATATTTTTTCTGTAAATTATAATTACAATTGTATAAACAGTGAAACTTATATAAATTTTAACAATGAATTGAAGTAAAATTTTCACATCATGTTTATTGTTACTATTAATTTTATTACCAATTGCTCATACGCAGCTGCTCTATTTTGATAAAAAGTTGCAAGGTCCTCTATGTTTTCTGTTGGACAAATGTCGATTGCTTTATTATACCGAGCAATAGCTTCATCATATTTTCCAGTTTTGAACTCTATATTTCCTGCATTCTTATACTTCTGTGCCTTTTGTAAAAGAGTCTAAAACAAAAGAATTTACTTGGATCAGTCATGAAAGTACTTTCTTCTTTTTTTACGTTAATTCAAAAATATATATAATGCCACTATATAATAATAGGTACTATGATTTTATTAAAGTTCTGACAAATGGATAAACATATATTGAGAAAGTCTCGATTGATCAAGAAAGTCCATTTATCATGTGTAAACTATACATTACATTATAATCTTATTACCATAAGGTTCAATAAAGCTTGCAGACAATACTGTTTACTGAAAATTATCACTCATAACAATATGTCATTTTGACATATTAATGATATAATTCTAGCTGTTAACAATACATGGATAGTACATAAATTTATCATTCTGTTTCTTAGGAACTAAGAAGCAGAACCAACAATGATGTTGATAAGTGTAAGATATCCTTTTTTTTTTTTAAATTTCGGATAAATGGATTTTCGCAATCTTTCGGACGCTTCCAGATAAAGCAGGCGGTTTTAACCTCCGATTCAGCCGCGGGAGAAGGCACTTTGGGTGGGCAATCGCCGTCGATGGAGATTTGCTTGTCGGCGGGCGCGCCGTTCTCCTTGGCCGCGCCGCTCCTGAACTTGTCACGTTCCGGCTTGTCAACGTTATTGCTATTCCTGTTCCTGTAGTACATGTAGCCGAGGCCGAGGGCAACCGGTGCTCCGACCACCAAGGCGAGCTGCCATTTCGGCAGCGGGCTGCTGCCTGCCACGCCGCTCGAGGCGGTCATTTCTTCGATCAGGAATCGTTAGCCGCACACGAACGATCACGACGTGACACCCGGCTGACCCGGCACTACCGGGCACTACCGAGATCGCGATGAGGAGACTAGATCGTGAATCTCTCACCGACGTAAGAGACCGCGAACTGCGAGAACACGAGGGAACACGTGGTCCAAGCGACGATCATGCGGACGCCACTCCTCACTATCCCTCGAACTTGATCACGTTTACGTTGCGGACGTTGAAACGATCCTCTTGACCGTCCTCGTTCTCACTCGTCCTCCTTGATCTGCTTGATTCTCCTCAATCGTCTCGATCCTCCTCGGTGTTTCTCGGCACCAAGTGCACCGACGATTATCGCGATACACGGCGGTCGCGTGAACTTGAAAGATTCCTTACAATAGCGCCCCCTTAGTGGAAGAATCAACTTTAAAGAATAGCGACTTCGACTTCGACTTTAATTAGCTCACACTGCATATTAATTTATCGAGCAAATATTACTTTGTTACATTTTGTGGAAGACAGGTCTTTTTACGCCTCATGAATAGAATAATTAAATCTTACTCAATACATGGAAAGAAAGCGTCGCAATTAGAGATGACAGGTTATATTAAATAATAACATTAAAATAAAAAAACAAATATTAAATAAATAATAAAGCAAAATAAAATAAATACGTAAATAATAACACTAAAATCCTTTTTTTTTTTAAATCCTTTTTAAGATGCGCGCCGCGTTTTCCGCGCATGCGCGGAACCACGCCGGAAAGATGGCGGCAGTCTGTCAACAGCAGCTGCGTTCCTATGATTCCTACGTTTTATCGGCTGTCATGCCGTCGGGATCAAAGCTTGCGCGATATGAAAGCCCTTGCTCTCGTCCACACTAGTTTCCCGAGGAATGTTGAACGACTGAAGGTGTATTCGTAAATCGTTTTAACGGACGTAGGATCACTCGGATCTCGATTTGCTCGCGTTCGTCTCGGGACGTCGCTGTCTGATTCGGACAACGTTCGTCGTGATGGCCCTACAGGAGGACGAGAACACCTGGTAAGCCGTGATCGTGGTTTCTCTGTCTTGTCGAAAAATAAAATGTCTCCTTGAAAACGAGAACACCGAACTTTGCAATCGAACTTCGCCGCGATAACGTGCCAAATTTTTTTTCGATCGTATGACCCGTGACACGTTTTATAACGTGAAGCTCGTAAAACGGAGAACTACATTGTTGCATACATGTAGCATGCGACGAAGCGCAGTAGAAAATATTTTATTAACGGAACTATGCGACTTACGTAATATCATTTCGAATATTTTGCTAATTAACATGCTAATTAATGTGATACATTTGTATAGATTGTAGATGGAAATTTTTTAATAGATATAGTCAAGTTTGCTTGTTGTCTCAATTTATATAGCTTTAAATGCAAATAACAGTTTTTGTCATTTTTATTAACTTCATTATTAATTGTTATTTTAGGGTTTTGGAACTGGAAGCGGCATTACTGGATACAGAAGCACCGTCTGCTTCTGATATATATGCCATTTGTAAAGGTCAACCGGTCCCTGTAAATTTAAGACCAGATGTCTGGTTGGCTTGCCTTTATGTTACTGATCGAGGTGATCAATTTAGCCAGTTTAATGAAGTTTACGATTTACCAGAACAAAATATAATTCGTGATGACTGTCAACAGTTGGTTGGTGAGTAAGTGAAAAGCTACATATGTAGTCTCATTTATATTTATTAACAACTACTATTAAACATTACAGCAAAACTTGGAAATGATGATGAAGATAAAGTTTCTGTAGTTTCGGATCTTGAATCTATACTAACGTTTTATTGTAAAAGTAAATGTAAACAATATGAAAAAGGAAATGGATGGCTAGAATTATTAGGTCCTTTAATAGCTTTAAAATTACCACGTGCTGCAACTTATAATCTCTTTGAAGCAATAAGAGATAACTATATTCCAAGGTAAAAGATAATTACTTTTATCTTTTTGTTACTTAAATATTTTTTATTGATGTTAATGTAAAATTGATTATTTAATCGCAAATTTTGTAATATGTTTACTATTCTTTTTAGAGGTGAAACATATAGCTCAGTCTTGAGATTACTGCTTCTCTATCATGAGCCAGAACTGTGCTCCTTCTTGGACACGAAGAGGATATCACCTGATCAATATACGAAAGTATGGATGAATACCCTTTTCGCCGGTGTCTGTTCATTACCAGCTGTTTGTACAATGTGGGATCTGTACTTTATGCAAGCTGATCCATTTTTCATGCTGTTCCTCTCACTAATTATGGTTATAAATGCTAGGTAAATATTAATTAAATTAATTTAGGCATCGTATATTTGTTATTACGTTGTTTAAAGTAATTCTCATCTTTATAGAGAGCAAATATTGAACATGAAGGACGAAGACAAGCAAAGTATAATAGATGCAATAGCAGTAATGCCCTGTGCTTTGGAAGCAGAGGATGTAACCGATTTCTGTTCGTTGGCACAGTATTACGCAATGAAAACACCAACATCTTTTAAACAAGACTTGTATTCCGTACTGTTTGGTGAAAGTTCTGAAGAAAAGCTAATTTCTCACGCACTATGTTTACCCGTATCGGCACAAGAATTAGTAGAGAATGCTATCGAAACTCCATCTTTACCTAATAGCACTGTTGAAGCTGTTAGATTCTTTCTCGTGGATTGTAGACCTGCCGAACAATACAACGCAGGCCATTTGCCAACGGCATTTCATCTTGATTGCAACTTGGTAAGTTATCAATAAAATAAAAATAAAAAATAATGTTTTAAATATGTATTAAGTTTACATAGTTTAAAATTTATTAAAATTATAATTTTTATATATTGCTTTATATATAAATTTTGATAGAAAGGAAAGATCAAACACATATTTCTATCTTTAGATGTTACAAGAACCCGCTGCGTTTGCTACAGCGGTACAAGGCTTACTACAAGCTCAGCGTCAAGCATTAGCTGTTGGTTCACAGGCTGGTGGAGAACATCTTTGCTTTCTGGGAAGCGGTAGACAAGAGGAAGATCGCTACACGCATATGGTAGTAGCATCCTTTTTACAAAAACATACACATTACGTGAGCATGGTTACTTCTGGATATCAAGGTATTTATTTTCTATTTTTTAATATATTTTGACGAAGATAAATTATATTTTTTTCATATAATTGTGATTTTGTTTTCAGCCATTCATGAATACTTCGGCGATGAAGTGGTATCAAGTCTTGTTGATCATAATTCACAATATTGTCTAGTATGTAATGCTAATATGTTAGAAGAAAATTCGAACGAAGCAAGCCCTGTTAAAGTTAAAAATAATAATTCTGATCTTTTGGGCAAGATCGGATTAGCCATGAAGTTAAAGAGTCAGGAAGTAAAAGGAAAGCTATTCGATTATATTGTTAATCCTACAGCAAATGGTAATAGTAATACAGAAAAAAGAGATAGTAAAGACTTGGACTACATTAGACGGCAAAGAAAGACCGCGCCTGTGTTTAGTATAGATGATGATCAAGAGATAGGTAATTGAATTCTAATTATTCTTATGTAATCGTTAACTGTTTTATAGATACTAATCTAATCTTTTTTAGATATGACAATGACTAATAATGAAAGTGAAGAGCCTATCGAAGTAGTATCAATACAACAATGGATGAAAGATCCCAAGTTATTACATTCCTTTAAATGCCAAGAAGTGAAAGTTAATGGCGATCTCTGTGATAGGTGAGAGGTGTTTATAAGAAAAAGGGATTTTCTTTCGTATATGTAAAGTCATTCATGTGTGTATATTGTTTTCTGTTTTAGTCAACTATTGGTTACCGATAGTCATCTTATAGTACTGCGAGAAATCCCGGAACGAAAGGGCGCCGCGCACGTAATTGTAAAACGTCCCTTAACGAGTATCGTCAAAATAACGTCGAGAAAGCGGCACGCCGATCTAATAACTTTTAAATATGGTACGACGCAATATAACGACACAGTTATTTCTGATATGGATAAGTTTCTTATACCTAACGCGAGTGAAGCGACTAAATTGATCACGCAACAGATCATGAGACAATTAAATACGTCAGACTAATATTATGGGCACGTATTTTATAGAATAATTTCAAGCTAATGTACAGATGTTATCAAGTTCAATTTGATGAACAGTTTTCTTAAAACATTTTATCTTATAAACAAGTTATTCATATTATTTATTGAAATAATTATTCATTTACTTTTTGTATATAAAATATAGTCATTTAAATCAGAGTTTTTCAATATATCATATTCTTTAAGTGTGCCGCGATAATTAAAAAAAAAATAAAAAATAAAAAAAGCGAAAAATTTATAGATATTCAATTTTAGAAATAAATTTATAGGTATTCAAATTTATAAATAATGAATGAATTTAGAAATGAAACAATGAAATGAAAAGTAAAAACTATGTTAGCAATATCTGATAAAAGATCTATGCTGAGCATTAAAACGTATGCGCGTAATGATACATCTCGAGAAATTATTTAATATGTCGTAAATAGAAAAAGATTGAAAAGCGCTGATTTAAATAAATATAGAAATATATACACTGGATATGTGTACAATAGAATTAACAAAAACGTATAAATTTGAAATATTAAGTAGAAATATTTCTAATGTTACTTTCTCTTATCTCAATCAATTGAATCTCAATTTAGTTGTATTGAGGATAACAGATAAATTTATGTTCATGTAACTTATATTAAGTCAACCGGGTGACGTTTCATCATTTAGATACACAACTTTTTTAAATATCACGATGATATGACTGACCTAAAAACTAATGCGTTCAACTTTGTAAATCACGTTTATACATAATCATTGTTAGCCATACAAAAATACATTAGAGTTTTAATAGAAATATCCAAAGGCCTTCAAACCTTTATTTTATAATAGTTTGCATAAAATTTTCGCAGTGCTAACGTTAGTTAAGATTATTTGATTAGACCAAGATTCTGTAGAAAAAAAAATGCTAAAAATTAACAAAAAGTTAAAGAAAAAAGCTAAGTTGATGCTAATACATATGTGCCTCATTATTAATCATTTTTTTGGTTGTGTTTATGTATAAAAGAAATAAGTATTCAAGCAAAAATATTTATCTACTTTAATTGGCAACTGGCTCTAACATGATTTTAATACATTTACTATGTGTTTGTATGCATTTGCATTTTGTAGATTGCCATATTGCAATATGTTTTCATAGGAAGAAGTTTATTTACAAATTACGTAAGTGGATATGTACAGGTGCAATATTTGTAAACAAACAGTACTTTTCACACTATCTGTTCCTTCAAATTTTTCAATCATTTTAGCTATTCTACATTATAGAAAAAATAGAAAATATTTATTATAGAAAACATAGAAGAAAATAAGCTTATACTACCAATCAAATTTTTGCAATAATAAAATATAAAATATATTTCCTATTTCTTTGCAAAACGTGCTTACATAAAATTATATTTTTTTATAGCCTTGGTAGCAAAACGAAATATGGATGAAATAAAATTTCTATGGACATAAGATATTTTCAAGGAAATAAAATTTTAAGATTTTATTTCAGGAATATTTCTTTTAGATCTACGATTTATTTGTGTAATAAGTCGTAGTAATTAATATTGCACATTACTTGCCACGTTATAATCTATAAAAATTTCGATAATTTGTTAATAAATATAAATTTCTTGTAGTTGTGTAATATATGATAACTTGAATATACAAATTTTTTTTACGTTTACATATAAATACACATAAATCAGTTAAATTAATTGAAATAAAAAACAATTTGAATATCTAATATAATCATAAGATTTATTAGAAATCCAGAAAAATGTAAATATATGTGTTGTTGACAATATTATCATACTGATAATTGTGTGCAACATATATATATAATTTTTAAATTGTAAGTAATATACACCATAGGTGTGTATGTGATAAAACTTTTTAATATATGTGCTTCCGAACGAATGATTGTGAAGATAAAAAATGTATATAGGTTACACATTTTAGAAACAGCAATAGAAAATTAACTTTTAAGAAATTAAATATATTGAAATTTTCAAAAACTCCCAAATACATGTTTATAGATGTGTATATAAAAAGGCCATGTAATATAATATAGAAATAATATATATAATAAAAAGTTAACAGTAATACTTGAATACTTTATACACTAACCTTTCATCGAATTAAACCTGTATATTGAAAACTTATTGATGGTATCAACGTTATGAATCATTTAGTATAATTTGTAGACATATTGAGATGTGTGAGAGATTACACACACACACATGTATTTTTCTTGTACAGATTAGAGAACATTGTGAATAATATTAGTCAATTTAAAGATTAATGTCATATCATTACTGATATGCTATTATCAACATTATATTTAGCGTTGATTTGTATGTGTAAGATACGCTTATAATAATTTACTGTTTCACTCCAATTACCTCTTATCCCTACTCTACCAAAGATAAATTATTAAAAAAAATATTCAAGAAAATGATGCTGGTTTTTCACATAACATAAAAAAATTTTGGAATTATATTGAAAAATTCTTCGCTCAGATTTTCTTTAATTTTGCAACGACGAAAGTTGTACTCAAAGCAACATCGTGAAATCCGGTTTACAGATAAAAAAAAATTGTTGACTGGTTCTACAAGTTAAATGGTATTCACACATTTTTAATTATATTCTATCATTTTGGAGCAATAAATACATCTTCGCGCGCGAGATTCAGATAAATATATACAGTAATAGAATTCACGCGTTACGAGAGCAGAGCATGGCGTAGCGTGTACATGTTTATACACATACACGTGCGCAAAGTGTGTTGATATATAGTGGTATCAATCAGTATCCGGCCTTTGCCAGTGTGCGCTGACGTGCGTACAAAAAACTACGGAAGGAATGACTGTCAAACATGATGTACCGAAATTGTTCAAGCTGAAACAGCTGAGAAAAGTCAAAGTATGGGAGGAATAAACTGGAGTGAATTATTTCCAGGAAGGTGGAGTCCTGTTATTTTCATCTCCTACATAGCTCTCTTTATAAATCAAGGTACGTTGATCACATGTTCTGCAAACAATTTTCATCCTTCTTATTAAACTTAAGCAACAAAATACATAAATTTGATTAATTAAATGTAAGTCGTCATGAAAATATGATATCAAAATGCAACAATCTACTGCAGGTATTCTTGTAACATGGTCTCAAAGAAGCGGCCGCTACGAATATAATATTGTGGCAGTTGTGTTGATGACAGAAGTTCTAAAATTGGTCATATCTACAACACTTTACTGCAAAGAGTAAATAAAACAATTTACAATTTTTATACAGCTGACCAATGCAGGCCAACGTTCCTGCTATTAATATTAATTCATCTTAATTTTCAGCAATAGTATCCTAACGCTTCTCCAGGAGACAAAGAAAAACAAAAAAGGTGAGATTAAAAACAGAGATAAAGAAACTTATAAATATCAGAATGTGCTCAAGATTCAGTGTACTAAAGAAAACTTCTGCCTGTTTTCAGTGCTTCTACTATATATGATACCTGCGCTTCTGTACTGCCTGTACAACAATCTAGCATTTGTCAATTTGGCTAAGTTTGACCCCACGACTTATTACATTCTGTTGCAACTCCGCGTTGTACTTACGGGAATCATTTTCCAGGTATATCGATGACATTGGTATTCATAGTCGATTCTTGTATTTAAGCTGTCGTAAAATGATAAATCAGCATCTTGAGGCATTACTCAAGACTGTCTTGAAATATAAAGGACATATTTTGACTATTATTTTCTACATATACATAAAAGGACGACATTGAACGGATGACGTAATAATTTCTGATTTCTTCTAGGTCATTTTTAACAAAAAGTTATCCGCAACGCAATGGTTTTCCCTAGTGATCTTGACAGTCGGCTGTATGATAAAGCACTTTGATGCCCACGTCCTTGGCACAGAATTCCATGTAGATATTTTTCTACTTCTAATTCTTGTACAAGTGAGTCATTTATTATATTGATACCTGTATAAGTAGAGACCACGATTAAGTTTTCTGAAAAACTTGTCTTACAGACGACATGCTCCTGCTTGGCTGGTGTATATAACGAGTATTTACTGAAACGGCAGGGCGCGGATATTGACATTTTTATACAGAACGTATTTATGTATATCGACAGTATTTTCTGCAACATCGTAGTAATTGTCCTGTTAAGTGTATTCACGAACGACGTCAGCGAAACATTGAGTAACGTTGAGATCGGTACGTTTCTGCAACCGAAAGTAATTTTAATTATGTTAAACAATTCTCTCGTCGGGATAATAACGAGCTTCTTTCTAAAGACTTTAAATTCTATACTGAAGACCTTTGCCAGCGCGGTGGAACTAATTTTTACAGCGATGCTTTGTTGGATTTTGTTTAGTATACCCGTTAGCACGAACACCATCGTTTCTATAGCTATGGTGAGTGTCGCTGTGATTTTATATTCGAGAAATCCTGTACAGAACGCTCAACCCAAAGAGGTAGCGGAAAGTGGGAAGCTTTTAGTGTAAACGACAGTATTAAATTTTATTTTCTAAATGACAAATTGTCGCAACTAAATTGTAAAACAAAGCGCATGTTATCAAGCTGTTGCAAATATTTTATTGTACGACGATAAGATTATGTGATAATAATAAGGTTGTTAATTTAAGATATTGACTGAACGCTTGTGAAGAAAAGTATCAATTTCTTTTAACAGGTATCAATAGAAAATTAAGTAAATGATTTAACGAACAATAATAATTTTTGTTATCTATAGTAACAAGTCGTAAGAATCTTTATATTATAATATATTATTCTTTATATTATATATTTTCTTCAAAGTATTCGATCGTTTCTCTTTAAACACACAGAAATCGAATAGATTAAGGCCTGATTGATAATATATTTTAAGATATCGTATCAATTTCTAGAATTTCTAGATATTCTACGTTTAAAATGTGTATCTAATCTTCTGTTTAAAAAAAGGCGGACTTCGCAGAAATTGTGCGAGACGTCGATTACGTATTCGATATTACTTGTTAATTCTGATTTCTACAATGAATATCTTTTATAAAAACTTCGATATCTGAATGAAAAAAGAAAAGATCATTTTTTTTTTAATTTCAATTCCAAATCTATTCGCCTGTGAAAATCAGCCCTAACAATCTCACAGAACGATTCATATCGAGATCATTGTGGATGAATGTAGACGTGTTCATTCATTGGTCGCCTAGCTCTGTTATCTCGCATATATCGCTACTTCAAATTTAAAATTAATTAATTATAATTGGACCCCTCTCTGCCTCTCCTTCGTATTATATATCTCTATCCTTCCTCCTTCAAATGCATTTGTTTTTATCGTCCCTTTTCTATAGCGTATCATAACGAGCGACGTAATTTCTGTTGCATCACATTCTATTATTTATTCTTGCCAAAGAAGTCAAGCAGATACTTTTGTAAAAATTCGTGGAAAAAATTCATTGTTAAGAAGAAGAAAAAAACGATCGGTCGCAGGTCGCGCAGTCGTCTATCTTTGTCCGTTCCTCGTGCATTCAGTGCATTCGTCGCGCACGCGTGCGTGCATTGGCGTGTATCCGTGCATTGGCGCGCGCGTTGACAGATTCCATAATGACGTTGTGGGCGTGTGTGCGATGTGACACATGTGCGATAGTGCGCGATGCCTAGGGGTGCCGCGGCGGCGTTCTACGTTCTCCCGAGGATCCCGGTTGGTCCCGACGATCTTCCCCTTGGAATCTCCTCCTCTTGGCAGCGCCGTCTCACGTCTGCCGGTTTCCTCTATCTCCTCTTTTTTTTCCTTTTCTTATCTCACCAGGTGATTCGACGGGCGGTGCTAAGGGTTTAAATGAACGTACGTTAAATGCGCGGCGGGCCCGCGCCACGAGCGATAACGTCGTGTCGGATTACGCCGAGCACCGAACGCCGGACGTGACGGTTTCTCACTCTTTTTCCTCTTTCAAGTATGGGTAAGTTATTCAGTATTTTCGAGAAGTTCACACGTCCTCGCACGACCGCTGATCATTTCAGAGGATCCCACGGAGGCGCAGAAGTGGCAACAACATTTGACCCTGTTGCGAGAGCAGTATGTCAATTTGTACAATGCGAACGCGGAATTGCAACGGGAGTACGCCGTCGCCACCGCTGAGAAGCAGGAGGGTGGATTCGTCGCCAGACTTCTGGCGACGGTCGCATCCTTGTACTGTCAACATCGTTACAGGTATCCTTATGCGTATAACCTGAAATTTCAGGTATCCTGCAACAATAATAATGTAAGATATTAATAATCTATTTTTTAAACTGTTTGTGTTTTCAGTGATATAAATATAAAACTGATCGACCAAGAGATACCGGCGCATAAATTCGTGTTGTCTGCCAGGTCTGATTTCTTCAGCGATACAGCTCTTGTGGAAAAAACTGTTTTAGGTTAGATAAACTTGCAACTCATTTGTTTATATCTTATTTTTACTTTAATACTTTAATTTATGTTTTATTTTTACTTAATACATTTAGATTGGTTCTTAATCTTACTTTAATACAATTGTTGTGTTCATATTACATATGTTTCCAGATTGGAGCAGTTTAAATAGTGCCGTTGCATTAGTGCTGCTGAAATGGATCTATACAGGCAAAGTATCTCAGGAACACCTAACGTTAGATCTGATGAAAGCGGCAGCGGGTTTCCAATTGTCCGATCTAGTAGATCAATGCGAAAGATATCTGATTGGGACAGTGGGATTGAAGAATTGCGTGGGATTGTACTCAGCCGCTGAGGAATTGGGTACTCTAAAATTGAAGGAGCATTGCAGCTCCTTAATTTCAGCGCATTGGGTAAGATTGACATTATCAGAGTAATAATATTAATTTTAAAACCTAAAATGCCTATATATATATATTATAGGAAGATTTGACCGGCGAGGATTTCAAGGAAATGCCTGGTTCTTTACTGTACAAATTACTACAAACAAAGAGCAAATATCCTTTGCACGCAGCGGTACGTTTGATGCGTGAAGATGTCGTGTTTCTGTACTTGGTGGAACATAACGCCGAGGTAAGTTTTTTCTTCCTTTTATGATTGTTGAAAAGCCAAATGTGACATATTTATTAAAGTAAATTTTATTGAAGTAATTTAAATTAATGATTGCAATACACATAATTATTTGCAATTCATAAAAAAATATATATGAACATAATATGAAAATATTGTACCATTAAAATATACAAGGATTTAATATTATAATTTGTTCATTGAATATCTTAAATGTTATATTATTACAATTTACTTACATGTTCACAGCTCGAGTTTAAATGTTAATTAAGTACTTATACATGTACAAAATACGTTTTGTTTACGAACATTTGGGATAAATGATAATTTTGTCTTAGTAATTTTTGGCAGTGATTATATATATGTAAAATTATTAGATCACTCCAAAGAATCTTTGTTAATTTCTTATATTCCCTCATATTTATTAAAAACTATGATAAACCTTTTCAATCATTTCAGACATCAAATTTACACAAACATTAGCAATGAATAGATTTTTTTATACTTTAATGTATATTTGTAATACTTTTCATAAATATACTTTAATGTGTATTTGTAATACTTTTTATAAATATAGAAAATGTTCCAATTATTATCTTTAATAAGATAATTTGAGATAGAAAAGATTTTTTTTTTCATTTTCAATCTTTTCATATATTATTCCAAAATTATAAATATAGAAATAGGAATTTACAAATTACAAAATTAAAAATAAACTATTTAATGTAATAACTTTTTAATAACAAATAAGTTAGCTATTTGTGGTCATTCATATTGGATAGGCCTCAATATTTTTGTATTTATGATATGACATTTGCAATTTTGTTATGATCTCTGCATTTCCATACTTAACAGGAGAGACTGATACTTACCATGTGCACGAAACTGCACTTTCTTTTAAGTAACATGTGCTACAAACAATTTTATAACAATCTCATAATTAACATCGCTAATATTGCCCCATATACTTTGTTAAACGTTCCAATTTGCAAAGGAGATGAATTGCACAGATGAAAACTACAAAAGCAGTATTCAGGTGGGCCAGTAGGCGCGCCTCTGTGTTCTCCAATAAAGCAACCCTCGTCATAAGCGGATGTTACGACTTCTTCCTTTTTATACCACTGCTTATCGGCGTCGTTGTAAGTGTGAGAAGTATATTTCTGTGGCGCGCAATCTCGTTGAACAGTGGTCACTACAGATGCTGAAAGAAGAAATTCGTAAATAAATAAACGCCTACATCACTTAGACAACAACACTTGCGAGACTCGGCTACCTACTTTTAGACTTATACTGAACGGTTCTTTTCATACAAAGCGTCGAGGTTGGACAGAACACTTGGAATTTGGCACTCCCGTCGAAATGAGAACAAAGCAGATCTGTGTCGTCCGGGTTTGTGAATGTCATGAGACACTTGAAACATGAAATACCTTCTGCCTCTACTTGTGAAATATCTATAAATTTCAAGGAACATTAATCTCGTGTTCTCATTTACAATATTTTTCATATTGTCAATACAAAAAGAAACATACGTGATATATAGAAAATACTGATATATAATATCATAATCTGTAGACTTGGCTTTAAATTATACATTTTATTAGCGATATCATTCGTATCTTGTCAAGGAGTAATTATTATATAAATCAGTAATGTATGAAGTATGTTACTTGATCACACACACACTTTATTTCAGTAATAATGACGAATCTGAAATAATATTTATATTAATATTTAGTATGAGATTTTTATATTCTTTTCTCTTCAAGATTACTTTACCAACTATATTAAAATAAAGAATATCATCCATATGTTTCGCCTAAATAACCTTATTATGCGTAGAATTATGAAAGACTTGGACGATTGCAAATAATCACTTTTTTAATTGTTGACGAATCTCTCGTTTGAGATTCGTTGGAAAGCGCTAGATTTCACCGTTGGGTGGTCCTTCGTATTCGTGTGAAGTTTCTAAATCGAAACTTTCCGATCTCTCATTATCCTCTTAATTAACACGCACTAATCGACGCTCACCGTCAAATAGAGCGGCGAACAAACGGCGCCCATCTATCACAGAGTTTCGTTTGCATAACGCATTATTATGTCTTATTTCGCGACACGCACCACGGTATCGTGGAACCGCCTCGTGCGAAAATGCATTAGAAACTCGTGGGACAACGACTGGTCGACGGCCGATTGCGGTCGGTTGGACGTACCGCGATTTGCGAAGACCACGTCATCCGCCTTGGCGGTGGCTTTAATACTCCCTCGGTCTTCCATGTATATCAGAAAATAATCTCCATATTTCCTCCACTTTTTCGCGCTGACCCGATACCGTACGTGCCATTCCAATGCGTGAACACACACACGTACACGCGCTGATAGCAGTGGTTCTCAAACCTCAGCTTCTTCCGCAACGGTTGTTATTATGACTTGACATTTATTTAAAAATTAAAATATTAATTTGAAATGGTACTTTAAACGTACGTTCATTCGAAATTTAAATGTTTAATTATTATATTGTTTTTAATAATTTTTATTACTGTTTTATAATAAGATGTTTTATTACTATGTATAATAAGATTAATAATATAAATATTTTTTGAAAGCTTTAAAATTATGCGTTACGTAGAGTAATCTTCAAATCAATTTTAAAGAAAATGAAGGTGATGAATTTTTTGATATCTTTTGCCTTTTGTTGACGCTAATGTTGCGATTATTTATGTTAGCTTCCGAAGGCTGTCAATGTTGTGGATTACAAAGGAGAAATAGCTCTAGAAGTTGCCTTAAAAACTCGCCAACCATCTCTGGCACGCACCCTGGTCGAGCACGGAGCGGATTTAAATGCGAAAGACGCGAGAGGTCTTTCTCTCCTTCATTCAGCTATCTTGAAGGGAGACTCCTACTCATCCGAGTTTATAATCGAGCAGCTGGAGAACAATGGCAGCGTATCAAAGTTATGTGAGGCTGTGAAAATTAACGAGAGTACGAAGAATGCGGCCGATTTTAAGCAACTGGAAGGCTGCACTGCCTTGCATCTAGTAGCAAAGCACAATACGGAAAACATGTTGGCGGTTGGAACGAGATTACTCCAAGCGGGAATTGATCCGAACTTACAAGACCACAGAGGATGGTAAATTTGTATTCTCTATCAGCTTTCTGTTTAAAAATTTTTAACTCTTAGAATTCAGAGGCACAGTGAAAATTAATTATTAAATAAAATACAAGGAGTAACAGATTTCAACTGCACAGCTTTTAATAGATTCAAATTTTATTCCTAGTTTCTTATTCCTTTTATTGTGTCTGAGCCCTTACATTATACTCCAAATAATGTAGAAACTAAATGATTGTCTGATAAAATTTGAAGTAGAATTTATAATACATTTTGAAATACGTCAAGTTAAGATTATTAGCATTTTTTATCTCATGCTTTTTTACAGGACTCCGCTTCATAGCTGTATCTCGGAGAAAAACGAGATGCTGTTCGATTTATTACTCGAGGCGAAGAATATAGATGTAGATCAAATCACAAACGAAGATGATACGCCGTTGTGTTTTGCAATGAAGATGGAACCTTTCAACGAATATTTTGCGTCGAAATTGCTTGCTAAAGGCGCTATACCGAATCCAACATATGATGTCACCGGAAACACATTGCTTCATATCTTGACGCAAGAATGCAAAGAAGAAGCAGCGTTATTTTTAGTAGAATATTGTAATAATAATTTAACGAAAACTAACAACGAAGGTTTCACAATACTACACGAAGCGTGCAGAGTGGGTTTAAAGAATCTGACTCATGCTCTGTTAAAAAACGGGTTGCCGACCGATGTCGTTACTCTTTCCACTGGCGACGCGCCAATTCATTTCGCTATTTCGAATCTATACACTGACATAGTCATCGAGTTATTAGACGCTACAAATTTGGATTCGCAGTTGACTATTAAGAACAACGCGAACGAGACACCTCTGAGTTTGGCTATAAAGACACCATTCAAGAAAGGTAAAGATATCGTGCTGGCTCTGATAAAAGCTGGAGCTGACGTGAACGAGCGCAACGACGAAGGCCTGACGTTATTGCATCAAGCGATACTGAAAGAGGATTCGGCTACAGCGATATTTTTGTTAGAAAATGGTGCTGACATGAACGCGAAGTGAGTTTGATAATATATTAAAACTTACAGAAATCTATTTGCGATCACAGTTTCAATTTTATTAACTGTTTATTAATTTTGGTATGTGCAGAACAGCCAATGGAGAGACACCGTTACAACTATGCGTACATTGTAGACTGGGCGAAGTGGTAGAGGCTCTTTGCAGGCGAGGCGTAGACACTTCAATAGGATGTCCGTTATGGGATGCTTTAGATTCGGATCAAGAAGATACTGCATCAATTTTGGTTAAACATGGAGCGGACACAGATTGTTGGGGTCCAGGCCCCGATGGCTGTCAACAAACGTTGTTACACAGAGCAATCGACGATAACAAAGAGGATATTGCACAGTTCTTGATTAGAAGGTGTGAAATTTTTTTTAGTTGAGAAGGATGGACAACAAGCAGAGATTTATTTTAAAAAATTATTACAGATATTATCTTATATTTTGTAATTTGTCATGATGGAGATATTTTGATTTAGGAGGAATTTGATTTAGTACAAAAAGAAGTTATTTAAGTAATTTCAAACATTATATTTTACCTTTTTTTAAATAATGATTTATTATTTTGCAGTGGATGCGACTTAAATGCTCCAAGACGATCTGGCCCAGACGGTGCTGGTGGAGACGAGGCAAGAGACGAGTGCACGCCGTTACATTTGTGTTGTCAATGGGGATTGGAGCAAGTCGTTCAAACGCTCATCGAGCACGGAGCTGATGTGAATGCCCGCGACGCGGAGGGAAAAACACCTGTGCATGTGGCGATACAGAATCAGCATTCGCAGATTATTTCTCTTCTACTGTGCCACCCAAATATAGATCTGAATAAAAGAGATAAAAAAGGACTGTCGCCTTTCGCGACCGCCCTGACAGTTCGCAATAACAAAGCCGCACAAGCAATATTAGAGAGATTACCTAAAGCCGCTGAACAATACGATAATAAAGGCAGAAATTTCTTACATACTGCTATACAGAAGGATGACATGGAAAGCATTCTATTTTTATTGTCGATACAAGTATTGCATTTAATTTAAGCGTAATAAATTAATTATGTATAAAGCCAGTATCTGCAGCCGATTGTTATTTTTCAGGTAGACGTAAATTCGAGAATACACGACGTTACACAAACGCCACCCTTACATCTTGCCGCCGTGTCGGGGAATGAGATGTTAGTGCGAAGTTTGATTCTGGCGGGTGCTCGTGTCAACGATACGGATGCAAATAGAAACACCGCGCTGCACGTGGCGGCCAAAGCAGGACATGCCGCTGTTGTCTCTGCGTTATTGCAAGTAAGAACCGATCTAATACTATTTATCGAAATTAACAATCTTAATCTCGATATAACCACGATATTTTACAATAAACAAATTCTCGTTTGCGTAGAACAATATTAATTTTGACGCGGTAAACGCGGATGGCGATAACGCGTTGCACGTAGCTGTAAGAGAAGGTCATGTCTCAGTGGTGCGAACATTATTGACTGAATGTACGCTAGATGCGGAAGCAGTGAATCTCAAAGGTCGTAATCCTCTACATGAACTGGCCAGATGCGCGAGGGACAATGCTGCGACGATATGCGATCTATTCTTAGAATGCATGTCGCAATATCCAGTTAATAACGCAGGTTATACAAAAAAGACAACGATAAAATTATTTGGAAGATTAAAATTATTCTAAAACACAATGCAATCTCTCTTAGCTAAACTGTATATTATGATTGTTTTCCAGCAAGAGACACAGATGACAATGAATAATTACATTCTCGTTATTTGTCAATGTTAAACAAAGATGAAGTGATTATATTACGATGATTGTTACATCATGTTTCTTGCTGAAAAGCACCATATATGTGTCTTATTGAGTTTGTATATTTCAGATTTGGATGGAAATACTCCGTTGTTGATCGCGTACATGAAGGGCAATGGCAATCTTTGTAGAACATTAGTGAAAGCTGGGGCATGCCTAGGTTCGATGAATAAAGATGGAATTACGATCTTCAATTATCAAGTAGCTACGAAACAGTTGTTGTATAGACTGTTAGATTCTTTAACACAAGAAGCGCCGTGGTCCGACAAGGATTGCTGCTTAGAGTGCGGAACAAAATTCTCTCTTACAATGCGCAAGCATCATTGGTATTGTTGAATTATTTTAAGGGCAAAATTGAACGTGTGTGTTAATCTTTTAAACATATATTTAATATTCTCTTTTTTTTTAGCCGACATTGTGGACGAATTTTGTGCAGCAAGTGCTCAGGTCAAGATGTACCAATCTTGAAATTTGGCTTGAATAAACCAGTACGTGTGTGCAATGTATGCTTTGATGTATTACTGGGTACTGGTTCTCTTCAACCATCATAGTTAAAATAAGAATTTATATATATATATATGACAAAAATGGAGAAAAAGATCATTCCAACATTTTTTTATATGACAAAAAATAGAACGAACTGAACTGAAAGTCTGTGTATAATTATGTCATTCATATTTTATGTATTCTATTGTATACACATTGTTCAAATTTGTTAAAAACTATTTCGTAGAGTTGAAATACAGATGAAGAAGAAATCACAAAGAAATATTTCTATCTGTAATAATTTAATCTTTTATTGCTAGTATTTGATTATATATGTACATGTTTAAGAGAAACTTTTAGCTTTAATTTTTGCAAACAACAGTTTAGCTCTTTATGGGAATATTATGCAATTATTTGAGTTTAGTGAACAGAGTCTTCGCGACGCAATGATCTACACATTGGACGTAATCCAAAAGTTCTTCTACACATGTTTCCTCTGTGTGAGATCTTGAATTAACACGATTGTTGCACGTGTCTAACTTCTCTTTGAAACTGGTGCATTTCTGTAGTTGACTGCATTGCTCCTGCATAAGGAAAAATCAGATATAAATTAAAATGATACGAGATAATGTTAGATCGTGATAGAATGTTATCATAAACAGCTTTTAACGTCAATTCTTTTATTAATAATTGATATATATAACCATATAAACAATTTAAATTTAAACCAAATTATAAACCAATTCAATTGTTTTACTTCATTAACAAAATTATATTCGTATAAAAAAAATTTTATTAAAGCTCGTATTCTATTTCGGCTTTATTAAACTGCTATTTTGATGTTAAAGAGCAGCAGACAGAATATTGGAATTTGAGAACCTTCTTCTTCCAGTTAAAATTTTCTTCAAATCGTGAAATCACAAAACGCAACATAAGTCATAATCGTGGCTTAAACTTAATCAAATGCGACCGTATTTCGAAAAATCGGCAAGGTATTTACACGCGTTCGAAAGACAAAACATTATATAACGATTGTCACCCGAAGGACTGTTTGTGGATCCACTAGTTCCTCTTCCTCTCCCTCGTCGGCCTTGACTACTGGCAGATAACGCTTGAAGAAATTCTGTATCGACATTTCTTTTATTTATTAGGATACTCTGATATCGTGGAAGTGGACTCCTCAAGTTTCTGAAGGAACCAAGAGACTTGAAAATGAATGAAGATAACCACAACTCAAAACGTTCAGGAAGAATTGTCACGATTCATCGATTGATCGAAATTTAAGGTTGTATCGAAGAATTCGTATACGGTAGCCAATCAGCTGCTACAGATAATAGGTAGACTGAAAAGTGATTGGTTACGATTTTAAGGGCATATATTCAGACTTGTAATCTGTATAAACGGATGCATAAAAAAATTATCTAATCGCATTTCTATTATAAAGACGCACTTCCAACACGATTGCATAATTTTTTTTAAGCATACGTTTATGCGGCTGTGCAACTGTAATTGTATGCGAAACCCGTATGTTGCAATGTTCACATCGGTTCCTTTTAGGTGTGTTCAGAAATAAGACCGAAAATCTATTGCAAGGAATCCATTTCATGCAAATTATATAGGTTTGTTCGCGTTGCTTGAAATCTCCAAAAATTTTTGCACTTAAAATGAGATAAATATATATATTTGCGCGTCGAAGAGAAAGAAAACGAAGATGTTTAATGCAAAAAGTGCAGGCAACGCGAATAGATCTATAATTCGCAAGAATTCAAGATGATTCGAGACAAAATTTATTTTATATATATGCTATATAATATATATCAAATATTTAAAGAATAACAATTACATGTATAAAAAGTATATGTTAAAATATATCATATATATATCGAAATACAGGACAAGTTAGAAATAATTCACGTAGGAGTCTAGCTGCAATTTCACCGGGGCTGAATTGATCATCAATTAAATTAAATGGAGTTTGATCGAAGTCATCTAGGGTACGCGAGTTATAACTTTCGCGGGATGCAGAGGGAGGGTGCAAACGAGTTGAGGGCGTCCAGTATTAGTAATTAACCCATAATTTGAGAGAGAGAGAGAGAGAGAGAGAAAGCGTTTGGAAGAATAAAGAATGATACTATCTGCAATTGAATCGCGAAGAAGGACGCGTGTTTGCTCGTCGACGACGTCGGCCCGGTTTGCGCGAGCGTGTTTACGAGCACGGGGATGCGCAAAGTGCGTCTCGTCACTCGTGTGCGCAAGTGAAACATATAGACACAGATCAGCCAAACACGCTTCAGGTGCGTCAACTTGAGAAAGAGAGAGAAGGACAGAGAATCGCGTTGTCGCGACGGGTCAGCTAGCGAACGAGAGAAACAGAGAGAGAGAGAGAGAGAGAGAGAGAAAAAGGTAAAAAAACTCTGTCCGTACGTTTTTTCACATTTCTCAGCCGGAGTGCGGAATCGCCGAAGATCGCGAATTCGTCAGCGGTGAGCGGAAACAACAGCGGAATAGTCGAAAGGACGATCGGTTCGATAGCTCGATAGGGAATAGGCTCGGGACACTCGCGCCGTTACGCATCGTCCCTGGACGTTTTACAAAAGTTACGCGATTTCTGGCAAAGGAAGAAACTGCAACTTGATTGAATAAGGATCTAAAGGTTCTGGTCGAAGTGATAGATCGAGCGAGGGAGGCAAAGAGAGAAGAAGAGGTATAGACAGAAAAAGTGAGGCGAGGAGAGTGGGAGATAAGCAGAGAAGCAAAGGTGAGAGAGCGAGATTCTCGGAACGTTTCAACGTGTACGACCGAGGAATCGTCGACGGTGTTCTACCTGAAGGATCTCGACGAGGAAATATTCTCAGTGGCTTACCGTCGCGGGCAAGCCAACCTAAAAGGAGCGCTTAGAAGCGCTTTCGAGGTTATGTGCCGTTGAGTAGAACCGCATAACGTTCTCGTGCGAAACTGAACAGCCAAAGTTAGTGCGAGAGAGAGAGAGGGACCACGTTGTAAATCTGTGAACAGGACACGACGGCTTTTGGATTTCATCTAAGGATGCCATATCGATAACTCCGCACCGGGGATCGTATCGATCCAGCGACGTGTGTATTGCGTTCACGCTACGAAAGAATGCGTTTTCGTATGAAGATCCACAGCAGAGTGACAAAGATTTCACGCGATCGTTACCTCTAACCTGGTTGCACGCGTACGATGCAGAAGAGAAAGGAACTGCTAATGCTTGTAACAAACTATAAGACTAGTCTGTATACGTAAGCGCGCGATTACTTTGCAATTTTATGATTAATGAACGATCTCGATCATGTAATTACACCACATATCACTAATGTAAAAGAGACAAACTTGTTCCAACAACAAATTCGCTATTTTTTAAATATAATTATAGTTGATTATTTTTAAGTGATAAACAGAGTGATGTATGGAAATTGTGTCATACTGATTTGCAATTCAATTTGTGTAAACGCGTACAATTTATTTTGCATGTTTGATAGACACTTTTCTGGAAAGATGCAAATACTATACAAGTTGATTTGCATTCAGCATAATAGCAATATCATCTAAAGTTTGGATAAATGTTTACGACAGAAGTTCATGTGAATGGATGATGCTCGGAGGCAATGAACGGCATGGAGAGACATGGTCATGGACATGGACATTCGCATGCGCATTCGCATCGTCATCGCCATTCCCATGGCAGTTCTCAGAGCTCGTCACAGAACTCGAGCCAGCCGTCTTCAAAACATAGTCACAGCCACGTGACACATTCGCAGAAGGATACGGCTGTGCCACCAGTGACCCAGAAGACTCAGAGGAATTTCAAGCTACTGGTCGATCCGTTTTTAGTTAAAGGAGCTACAAGACTATGTAGGTATGATGGGACCGTTCCAGGCGATCCAACGTATCCACAAGTTCAACCTCGAGATCCCAGATCGCAATTAACTAGAATCTGGACTCGATTGGAACAGCTTGATCTACCTGTACCTAGATTTAAAATTGATTCCAATTACTGTGGAGAACCTCCTCCACTAGAGGTAACGTTTTGCCATTTAAATGACAATATTGATAAGACATTTTTAACAAACATGGTTCAGAAGTTTGGATCTATAGAAGAGCTTACTATTTATTACCACCCGTTAAACAATAAACATCTTGGCATAGCAAGAGTGGTGTTTGAATCGACCAAGGCTTCTAAAGCATGTGTAGAAAAGTTGAATAATACATCTGTGATGGGGAAAGTATTAAGGGTTTTTCTGGATCCCTTTGGCGAAGAGTGTAAGAAGATGTTTGAGGAGTTAACCATAGAGAAAAAACCACCTGAAAAGAAGGTGGAAAAAGAGCCACCGAAGCCAGAGCCAGAGCCAGAAAAACATCAGACACCAGTGGAAAAGGCTTTGCCCGAGGAGAGGGACGACTTTAGAAATAGTAAAAAACCTATTCTAAATATAGAAAAGAGCAGAGAGCCATATGTAGAAAATTCAAGATATAACAAATACAGAGACTATCCTACACCGAGTGGCAGTACAGGTAGTGATTTGGGTTATGGAACAGCGCCCAGTGAATTGAATTATTCTAGTAATTATTCTCAAAATTCTACTCCAGCAACAAATTATGACTTTTACTACAGCAATTATCATCATCAACCTCCGAGTAGCTATTTAACTAATATTCCGCAAAATGTGTCACAGAACATACCAATTCAACAGAACTCGAATGTATGGTGGGGTAATAATTCTGGACCAGCAGGATATTCAAGCTCAACTTCTGTCTGGCCAATTCAACCACATGCGACAAATTTGGACAATACTGGTTCTAATGTCACATCGATTAATAATAAAACTTCCAGTGCAAAAGCACATACCACTCCTAAAAAGGAAAAGGAGAATCAGACTACAGCAAAGAGTACACCTCGTGATTCTCCTGATGAAACTCGCAAGACATTAGATTTAGATACAAGAATTGCTATGTTACTAAAGGATAAAGCAGGTGGAATGGCACCTCCTTTCTTACAGTTTGGCAGTGACTCAGAAGATGACAAAAAATCTCAATTTGGTGACAATGAGATGTTGTCAGACCCACCCAGTCCTTTCCTCTCACGTGAGATATACAAACAGTGTTTTGATAAAGTAGTAGAGAGAAATAAAGAACGGAGAAAAGCTCATGAAAATAGCATTAGTCAGTTTTCCGTGGATGAGGATTTAGGTAGTGTCATAAGTTCCAGTGAAGATGAAGCGTTGTTAGGAAGTTACAGCCCAGCACCTGATGACAATGAACCAGAGCCACCTAAGGAACCACCTCCACCTCCACCGCCTGACGACGACAGAATGTCTCTGAGTCCTTTAAGTTCAGGAGATGAAAAAATTGAGGAAGTGAGAACATTTATACATATGAAATGTAGTATTCATCGCATACACATGCCTATTTTATATTCATAAATTTCTTTTTGATAGGTAATAGCACAGACTGAACCTTCGAATCAACTATATCCGGCAGCTGGTTATCCAGGACATTTAACTCACTATCCTTCTAACGATGTTTATAATTGGCCGCGACCGACGCAATATCCTTATCCTTATGGAACAACTTATTTGCAAAGCCATTATCAACCTAACACAGCGTCTTTTTCGGCAACAATCGGAAATCATCAAGGAACAAATTATTATTCCTCTTTTCAATCTCGGTTACATGCTATGGCAAATTATAATATCACAAAAGATCCACAGGTAAGATTGATCACACAAATGTATAAATCTAAACTTTGCATTTAGAACTTTTAAAACTAACTTTTAAAAATATTTCTATTTATAGGGACCTACTATCAATGGAGTATTAAGCAGAGTTGTAAATGAATTAAAGCAAATTCTAAAGAAAGATTTTAATAAGAAGATGATAGAGAACACGGCATTTAAATTGTTTGAAGTTTGGTGGGACGAAAAGAAATCAGAAAAAAATCAAATTCAGGGTAGCAGTGATAATATTATTGTCAATAATACAACAAAAGAAGACGTAAAATCGCAGGGATTGTCATCATTATTGGAGCAAGCAACACCACTGGGGCTCAATTACGATGGTTTTGGTTTGGGTATTAGAGCTAGTATGCCAAAGATGCCTTCATTTAGGGTAAGATAATGTTAAATATAAAATAACAAAAACAAAAAATCTAGGCTATTGAAAATCAGCATGGAAGAAAGTGCACAAACATATTTTTTTTTTTACAAGTAAAATTGTTACTCCATTTGATGTACAGATGTCTTCTTTATTTAAAGTTTAGAGAATTTATTGAATGTTTCGATTCTCTTTGGAGTCTTCTTCAACAATATTCGTATTTTATATTAGATTTTTTTCGGACAAGGCAGTCACTTACAGGTTGCCAAAACTAATGGAATCTGTTTCAAATTCAAATACTTATGAGATTAAATTCAACCAAAGAGCGGCAAGCAGCTCCACGGTTGCCAAATCTTATCATAAAGCCTTAGATGCTGTTATTCACAAATTAGCACTTTTTAATACATTTTATGCGGAATTGAACTCTGGCTTAAGCAATTCATAGTGTCTAACGAGCATTTAAATTATCAAAGATTAGATCGAATAAAAACAGTAATCATAGTAAATATGAGATATCAAGGCAGTATATGTGGAATCTAAGTTACTGATTTTAACATATAACGTCAAGTCTTAAATATAATATATATATAAAAACGGAAAATTATTGTAAGAGTTACAAATTTAATTTAATAAAAGAAATTGAAGAATCAAGAGGAAAAAAATGTAAACTAAGGATAAATTAAGGATATAAAATAAGGATTTATTTGTAATTTATTTATATTTAAACTGAGTTTTTATTTTATTATATTTTTTCAATTTTACTTTTCTCTATTCGTAATTTATTCTTTTTAATTGTGTGACAATTTAAAAAAATGTGTTTGACTCTTACTTTACCCTTTATTTATTGTTATTTATTTTGTATAGGAAAAGTTCTTCAATCTGTTAAATAAAATAAGGAATCAAAAGTTATAAACAGCAGTAACATTATGCGTAAAATTATGTGGAATTATTATCACTTAACATTAAATTTTATAATGTTATATCTTATATTTTTCTTCGCTAAATATTGGACGTTATATTTTAGTTTTATTTTTATATATGTAGCGCAAGATCAAAGCTCCAAGCCCACTACCGCAGGATGAGGACAGTCGACAATCGGGTCATGCTGATATTGAAACAATTGAAAGTGATAGTGATCTAGATGTACCACCTGTACAAAAAACAAAGAAACCGATGACTTCTCTCCCAACCATTTCTTCCTCGTCTACTACATCTTCGTCAATCGAAAGTAGTAGCGAGGAGATTAGTTCCAGTGAATCTTCTGATAGTTCAAATGAAAGTTCCGATGAAGAAGCTTGCTTTGAGGATGAGGTGTGTATAAAGTGCAAGTAAGCGCAATAATTACAAAAAAAAAATACGACAGACTTAAAGAGATATGCTAATTAAAATAAATTTATTTTTAGCAAGATACAGATAGCCGAATGTCCGACAATAGGCCTTTGGCTTGTAATAGTGAAGATCCTGATATTTTGATGGAACTTGCAATCCAAAGGTCTCTAGACTGTCCTACACCAACTGGCAGAGAAACGCCGGTACCAGATATCAAAATTAAAGATCAAAATTCAAACGAATTTCCGCAAATTGATGATGACAATCTGAATAGTTCATTATCTTCTTCCATAAGATATGAAAGCATAAAAGAAGAAGAAAGAATTTCTGAGAAATTATCTGTAGTGGAAGAAAAACCATTTGATGTATGTAGAACCTTAGACAAGGAAGTGAAAGATACATCGAAAATCACCGAAGATAAGGGAACGCAGAGCGACATGAAACCGGTGATAACAACATCAGCAATAAAGGAGGAGGTGTTACCGGATATACAAAAAATGGAAAATTCGGCTGCGGAAGCTCTGATGACTCTAGCTGGACATGATAATATTATACGGCACAAGAGTCCAGGTCCTATACAACCTAATATTATTAGAGCGCTACAGACAATGTCAGCAAAATACATCAATGATGAACCCATTTTGAAGGATAATGAAAAGATTGAAATGTTTAGTGAGATTCCTACAACTGACTCAGAGGAAGAGAGCTTAGAAATCAGAAGACTAAGGTTAGTTAAATAAGTTTTTTTAAGTAATGTTGATTTTTCTTTGTATATAATACCGTAGTACAGTGCATATATACTGCAGGATTAATTGCAATAATCAATGGACACATTTAAAATGGATGAATTTTAGTTAACCTGTTCGCCGAACGATTGAATATGATTAATTCTTGTGAATCCAACTGCTTGGCAAACGGGCTAGCTGCTTTATTTGGGGTGCTTTCCAGCAAGGGCACAGTGTAACATAGTGAATTATTACATCTTTGTTGTTTGTCTATGTTAAATAAGAATGAAACGATTCTCTGTGACTATGTCCTTGCTGGAAAGCACCCATGGTCGGAACATGTTTATTGATTTATGTGTAATAATCTAATAACAATCTTTTCGATTAGTGGGTTTGATCGTTCCGAGAGTGAGTAATGAAAGTTCGACTCGAAAGTATTAGATACTAAACTTAGTTTCCGCGGCTTAGTTTTTTTTGCTTAAAAAATTCATTTATCTCGATATTAAAAGCAAAAAATACATCAAAGTATTTTCTCTCGCTAGCTATACATTTTTCCCATCTTTGTGGCAATAAGTGAATTCCGCGACGATATAACGATTGGTCTTTTGAAGCAATTCATTTATCGATCCATTTTCGCACATCCTCGTAATTTCTGAAGTGTGTATTCACCAAGCCGTGTTGCATCGATTGGAATAAGTAATAGTCTGAAGGACCTAAGTTTGGTGAATATGCTGGGTGCGGGAGAACTTCTCACTCGAGCTGCATCAGTGTTTCCTTGACGGTTTTTGCAACGTGTGGTCGAGCATTGCCGCGCAAAAGCATAACTTTGCGTCGATTGCTGCTGGCCTTTTTTCTAACAATGCTTTATTCAGATGGTTCAATTGTAATTGATCCCCAGTGATCAGTATCATACTTTCATTCGGTTGAGCAGCTTATAGTAAACAATGCATATCCCACCAAATGCAGAGCATTGCTTTATGCCACAGATATTTACTGTAGATGTTGATGGCTGGGCAGGGTCCATCTATGACTTTTTGCGTTTTGGATTATTAAAATAGATCCAATTTTCATCGCCAGTTACAATGCTCCACAAAAATTTTTTTTCTGTCTGGCGAGCAGAGAAATAGAGATATTTAAGCGATTCGCAATGGTATTTCGGTGTTTAATAACAAAAAAATGGCACTGTCCGCTTAAATGAATCTTTTTGCACTGAATTTTG